AAATACAAAAGTAACTAAATCCAAAACTACCAGAAAGAAAAAAATAATAAAGATTAGAGCATAAATAAAATAGAGACTAGGAAAACAGAGAAAATAAAAGCAAAAGTTGGTTCTTTGAAAAGATTAATAAACTTAAACCGTGAGCCGAACTAAGTAAAAAAAAGAAATCACTAAATTTTTTTTTTTTTATCCTCACCCGAGGACATTTTTCCATTTTTTGTTCAGATAGAGTGGGAGGGAGAGAGAGAGAGAAACATCGACGTGAAGGGACACATCGAGTGGCTGCCACCGCACGACCAACCAGGGCCGGGGACAAACTGCAACCGAAGTACGTGCCCTTAGCGGGAACCGAACCCGGGTCTCTCCGGACCGCAGGCCGATGCTCTAACCGCTGAGCCAAACCGGCCCGGGCCAGGCTTTGTCTTTTTAAAACTCCCATGCCCTGTGTTTTGGGACTCTGGCGTCGAGGACAACCACTACACAGAAAACCCCTGCCCTCCCACTCCAACGCGAGCTCCAGCCCGTCCCCAGGGCGGCCTCCACTGCACGGCGGCGCCCGAGGAACCACCAGGGAGGCAGTGGGGAGTGAGGGGCTGGTGCCTGAGCCTGTGGCCAGCCACTAAGCGAACCAGCGGTGGTTACGCTTGGCTGGCGTCAGGGGTGGAAGCGAAATCCCACTGGCCCAAAATTGGGCCTCTAAGACCAAGCCCACCGAGCTCCAACGGTTCCCTTCACCCACGTCCCTCATAACCGCTGGGCCTACCACCCGGAGCCAAAGCCGCTTCGGCTTCGAGGAAGGCGCCTTACCCGGAGCTCGAGGCGCACGTGGCTCTGATGGAGTGGATGCGAAGGCGATTGGCCAGGTCCCGCAGCACCTGCAGAGTTTCCTCGTCAGGTTTGTCTTCTGAGGCCATGGCAACGCTCACCTCTGCGTCGGCCATAGCTGCTACCCCGTCAGCTGCTGAGGAGAAAATGGCGTGGAGTGTGCGCCGCCGTCACTTAAGTGACCTCTGCATTGGCTTCCTCCGCACAGCTCCTTCCGCGTGGCTCCCTCCGCGCACCCAATTCAATGGATTTTGAACGTTTCTCACTTGTATATATGACATTATTCAAAATTATTTAATTTCTTTATATCTTCCCTCGTTTTATTAATTCAAAGAGGACTGCCTCTGTGCGTGAGTTCAGGGTCTACTTTTTGGGGTTGAATGTGAGTCCAGGGTCTACTTTTGGTGTGGCGGTTGACAAGATGGCGGAAGTAGTAAAGTGGCCTTCGATGCACATGCTTTAAAATACGATGGTGCATTTTATTTTACACGTTTTATCACACTATTAAGAGAGCTGTGCAGTAATTTTACAATTTTCGGGTACTCCTCACACCCAATAGCAGCCCAGCTACTAGGTCAGCTTCTTAGCACATGAGGTGGGCTGAGGGTTCTGAGACCTTGCGCCGACCTTTCTAGAATCTTCCGTATGGCAAGATCCGTGTGAGTGCTTAGGTGGCATTAGCCCAATACTAGCTAGCTGCGTTTTCAGGGAGTCTGACTTGAGGAGGCTCCTACTGACTTTCTGTATGAAGGTCCCCATCTGTATGAAGGTCACACTGTTGTCTTGGGGAGCTCCCCTCTGATTTTGAGACGGTCTACCAAGAACCAGCCTTGCTCCCAGCAGCACCATCTCCACAACACAATACCCTAAGTCCAACCATTCCACCACTAGGAAGCATCTTGAAAACTGCCAAGCTCCTGAGAGCCCCAAGTGTCTCTGATTGCAGCTAGACATTTACGTTCTTGCTTGGTCAGGGGGTAGTACATTGACATTTTTCATTGATACTCCTGACTGCTCAAGAAAAACCCTGCCCCTATGTGTGCTCCTACTTGCAGAATACCTGAGTGCTCATTTCCTCACATCCTCATCCACACTGAATATTGTTAGCCTTTTTAATGTGTGACATTCTGATGGATAAGAAAAATCACATTTAATCATTGCTTTGATATACGTTTGTCCAAGTTTCTTTCAGTGGCACGTTTATCATATGTTTATTGCCATTCGTAGTCCATCCTTTGTGAATCGTCTATTGCTACCCTTACTGTTTTTTTTGGATTATTTCTCTTTACCTTCTTAATTTGCAGGACTTCTTTGTGTTGATTAGCCTTTTATCTATTAGCGATATTGCAAATCTGTTGTTTCTCAATCTGTTACGTTTTACAAAAAAGTTAACGGGAATACTTTATTTTTAAGAAGAAGCGTTTGAACCAAAACCTAACTTTATGCTTTTTTTCTCCATAAGAATGTTTTAAAACACTTTTATTCAGTAAAATATGTAAATCTGTTGCTTCATGGCATTTTGGTTTGAGTCATTTAGAAAAATCTTCTCCACACAAAGATCATAAAAATATTCCTATTATGTCCTCCTAATACTTTTACAGTTTCATTTTTATGTTTAGTTCTTTGTTCTGTCTCAAGTTTATTACTGTGTATGATTATCAGGAAACACTAACAACTTTTTTCAAATAGCCAATTGTCTCAAGACCATATTTATTATTCCTTTTCAAGAATTTCTTAGCTTTTTTTGTACATTTTTTTCTTCCAAATAAATTTTGAATCAGCTATTTTTAAGATTCTTAGGAAATTCCCATAGGGTTTTTAATTGGGATTTTATTGAATTTATATGTTAGTATGTACAGGGCTAACATATATATTTACAGTATTGAATCTTCTCCTCAAGTACATGGTATATAACCATTGATAATCACATTGACACTGTATTTTATATTTTCTATTTAACTGGATATTTTGTTCTTTTTCTTCCTCCTTTCCTTCATTTTCTGGATTAATCAAGTTCTATTTTATGTCTCCCCTTGGTTATTTGGATGTTATGTACCTGGTTTTTTCCTAGTGGTTACCTTTAATTTTTTTCACCAACATTTTCCTCTCAATTTTAAGTTTGTTTTAAAAATAATTTTTTTTCTTTATTGATTTTTAGAGAGAGAGAAAAGGAGAGGAAGAGAGAGATAGAAACATCGATGAGAGAGAACATCGGCTGGCTGCCTCCTGTATGCCCCCCACTGGGGATCAGGCCCACAACCTGGGCATATGCCTTGACTGGGAATTGAACCAGTGACCTCTTGGTGCATGGGTCGATGCTCAACCACTGAGCCACACCAGCCAGGCTCAATTTTGAGTTTTATGTGATATCTATAAAATTCCCCAATAGAACAAATCATTAGAAAACGTTAATTTTCCCTATTTCCTATTAAACAACTATTTAGTTCTTTCATTTATCAATGGTATATATGAACATAGTTTAAAGCAGGGGTCCACACACTTTTATATATATATATACATATATATATTTATACATATAAATATACATATTTAAAAGATTTTTTTGTCCTCACCCAAGGATATTTTTTCATTGATTTTTTAGATAGAGTGGAGGGAGAGAGGGAGATAGAGAAACAATAAACATCCATGTGAGAGACACATCAATTGGTTGCCTCCTGCACGACCCCCACCAGGACCAGGATCAAACTTGCAACCCAGGTACATGCCCTTGACCGATACTTGAACCCAAGACCCTTCTATCCATGGGCCAATGCTCTAACCGCTGAGCCAAACTGGTCAGGGCTGATATATATCTTTCTTTATTATTAACAGTATTACAGATGTCCCCCATTTTCCCCCCTAGCAAACTTTTTTCTGTGAAGAGCCAGATAGTAAATATTTGAGGCCATGGGATCTCTGTTGCAGCTAATCAACTCCACTGTTGTGATGGCACAAATGCAACCATGGACAATATGTAAGTAAAGAAGAGTGGCAATGTGCCAATCACACTTTGTTTATGGACATTGAAATTTGAATCTCATATAATTTTCACATGTCAGAAAACATTCTTTTTCTGATTTTTCAAGCATTTAAAAATGTATAAATGGTTCTTAGCTCACACCTATACAAAACCAGGCCACAATTTGCCAACCCCTGGTCCAAATAGTTAAATGGTTCTATGAAATATTACAAAAAATAGCAGTCCCTGGCTTCCACCCACCCAATTGTCCACTCTCCAGAATCAACCACTTTCTACCCTTTTAGCTGTTTCTTTTAGCATTTACCTCTAGTTCTCTAAATAAAAACTTTATAGTGCTATTTAAATTTTTAAAATATATTTTAGAAATTATTGAATGACTTCTCGCTATAAAGGACAATGAGGTAGCTCTTTCACCCCACCCCACCCCCATCTTTCCAGTTAGATCATTCCTTGGTGTTCACATTATCAAGTCAATGAAAACACTGGTCACAACTGAGTCATTACTCTGATGATGTTTTCTTTCTCTTCCAGTGTTTTGTTTTCCTTCAAGTTAACATTTGTCTCCCCCAATCCTTGTGTTGTTTGTTCTCTGCTATATAGGTCAGTACTTCTGCCAACTGTCTGTATCTCCTCTCCAGCTGGTCAAAGATGTCTGGCATTTCATTCATTTCATCCCCTTGGAGTGCTCTCTCCTGGAGCCTTTTGACTTGCCCTCCAGGACTGCAGCCCAGCTGCCAGCCTAGGCTCCCCTGCCATCATTCTGGAGATTGCATTTGCCTCTCTTTCGTCTTGGGGGTCCTGTTTCATAGATTCCATCTCTACCTCTTTCTGAGGTTCTTCTCTGGTTTTGGTGGAGCACCTTCTCTGGTAGCTTCCAGAGAAAGAATGCAGAGGAAGTAAACTATATGAGTACTTTCATGTTGGAAAACGCCTTTACCTCACAATTGACAGTTTGGGTATAGAATTCTAGGTTGGAAAATTGTTTTCCTCCCAAATTTAGAAGGAATTAGTTCATTGTTTTCTAATATCTAGTGCTTTGCTGAAAAGTTTGAAGACATTCTGACTTCTGATTCTTTGGATATGATCTCTTTTTTCCCCTCTCTGATGGTTATTCTCTCAGCATTTTGAATATATTATTCAACTCTCTTCTGAATTTTATTGATGCCATGAGAAGTCAGCTCTGAGTCTAAAAGTCATGATTTTAAAGGTAATCAGCTTTTCCCCCTTTTTATTGAGCTTATTGGAGTGACAGTTAAAAAATTATATGAGTTTCAGGTGTACAATTCTATAATATAGCATCTGTATATTGTATTGTGTGTTCACTACTCCAAGTACTAATCAGCTTTTTTAATCTGGCTGTTTTTAATATCTTATATTTAGGTGTAGATCTATTTCTGTTCTAATTGTTTGGGATTTATGGGGCTTCTTGAATTTGTGTCTTTCATTAGTTCTGGAAAGTTCTTAGTGGCTATCTCTTAAAATCTTTCCTGAATTAAAGTCACTCCTGACTTTCCACTGGGAGAGCATTTTCAGATCAAAAACTGTCATGAAGGCACTTGTGGTTAAAAAATAGAAACATAACAGTGGCTCTACCTGTTCAGACCCCATTGACCTCTTCTAGTTCATCATCATTCACTTTGCCCTGGTCCACCGTGTTCCAGCTATGCTGCTATGGCCATCTTTATTTTAGAAATGAGAAAACTGACCCTCTGAGCAGTTTATTAACTTGCCCAAGGTCCCAGAATGGTAGAGTCAGGATTTGAACTGAGCTCTGTCTCAAAGGTAGTGCTCTTTCTGTTATCCTTCACCATGTGGGAGACTCATTCATTTGTGTCACGATAGAATTTTATACCCTGAACTATGAGCTCTATGAGAGCAAGGAATGTGTCTGGCTTTTGTAACACATGGTAGGCAATCAGGAAATATGTATTGAATGAATGATTGGATAAAGGAACATATCTGCTAGGTTGCAAAGCTCTCCACCTCTCTCTTCTGTCTGCCTGGCAGTAGCAATGCAGCAAGATGTATGGCTTAATGGGAATGAATTTATTTCATACTTTACAAGAACAGTTTTTAATAAAATGAGATGCACAATTGGTAATTCTTGGAAGAAAGGAAGCCCAAGAATGGAAGGGGTAGGTATGGAGGGGGTATTCTAGCCATCGGGGGTCACAGTGAGGTATACCCATAAAGCAAGAAGTCTGGTGCCGAAAAGGAGAGGAGATGGATCCGTAAGATGAAATTGACTTCTCCAGTCTGTGTTGGACCCATCTCGAATGCATAAATCTTGCATATATAGTTATCTGTGCATATGTGTAAGTATTTTTATAGAGTGAGGCAATAATGTGTTCAATTCTCCTATTATTACAGCTTACAGAAAAGTACCCATTTTTAAATTTGTTTCCCAATGCAGGTGGACTACACCAAGAGCCCAAGTGCAACCCTCCCCTCCAACATTCCCTCGTGCAGGTTCCTGTCTTCCAGTAAAAAGGGCCCCAGTAGCCACTCCAGCCTCTTGGATGGGGAGATGGCCCGAAACTTACGGGAGAGCATCAAGCACCGCATCCTCTACCTCTCAGAGCAGCTGAAAGTGGAGAAGGCCAGTCGGGACAAGAACACTGTGGGCTACCTCAAGCTGGTGTCCAAAGCCGACCGGCACCAGGCCCTTCACATCCGGCAGGCCTTCGAGAAGGTGAACCAGCGTGCCTCTGCTGCCATTGCCCAGATTGAGCGAAAGCTCCGTCAGTGTCACCAGCAGCTGCAGGAGTTGGAGGAGGGCTGCCGGCCCAAGCGCTTAGTGCTGAAGGAGGAAAGCAGCCTGGACAACTGCCAGCAGTCCAGTGAGAAGGCTCTAGTTTTGGAGTCCCCCAAGCTGGGTGGGAAAGATTGCTTGTCCACCAACCAGTCTGAGAGACACTTCCCACTGGAGAGTCACTCCCCACCGGCCTTAGAGCAGTGTACATCCTCAGAGACAAAGGGAAACTTACTATTGCAGAAGGCGAAGGAAGAGCTCAAAGAAGTAGAAGAGTTTCACTTCAACCTTCGGGTGTCCTATCAGAGCCTAAAGGAGAGGTATCTGACAGACCTGCAGGTGTCACTGGAGTCCCTTCAGGAGGAGAAATGCAGGTGAGGTAAAACCCCTTCTGCCACCTTGGCTTTGGGGACAGGACTGTTTGTAGGAGGGTGAAGGGAAATCAGGGGCGGGGTAGCAGCTCAGAATTCCTCTTGGTGACTGCCTCCCCCCCCCCCCCCCCCCCCCCCCCCGCAGTGAAGAGAGCTCATGCACTGTCCATGGTGGCACACCAGCCTGGCATTCTGCTGGCAGCGAATGAGGCTCTAGCTCCAGGCCCTACCAGGCTGTCCTGCCGCTGTGGCTCTAACTGGAATGGCAGGAGACAGCCACGGTGGTGTTGAGCCCAGAAGACACCTTTCATCACGGAGGCATTTTGCCATCCTCTCTGCTGGAATGGTGTGTAGGCAGGATTGAAGTTGTCTTACCAGCCCTTATCCCTTCACTTGTGCTCATGGCTGAACTGGGGCACAATGTCACATATGGGATGTTTATTCTGAAAATGACTGCCTTCTGGAGAATGCTTTCTCCCCACTGTGCAGTGGGTTGATTTTATTTTCATCTAAGACTAGTCCCCCCCCTCTAAAAGGCAAACTCAAAGGACCCCCTCCATTCCTATTTGGTCACTTCTCAGGGTTCCACTGACCTTCAGAGGTGCCATACTCCCTCCCCTGATCCCTGTGGTGTTCATTAACTCTAATCCTTTCTTTCTCTCCACTAGACTGAAAAAGGGGCTTTATCTTGTCCATTTCTATATTTCTAATGCCAAAAACTGTGCCTGCCATTTAGCAGGTACTCAATAAATATTTGTTAAATTAATGGGGGGAAAGGGAGAGAGGGATTTGCTTAGATGAGCCAAGATTCTCAGCATTTTCATGAAAGCAAGAATTTTGCAGTCCATTTAGTCTCTTTTTATGGGGAAATCTTACCTGCGTTTACACTGCTAGTTTCATAAAGGGCAACCCACTGTTATTACAGGTTTCTTTTGGAGGTGATTTTCATAGGACATGGCAATGCAATCTAAAATCTTGGCACTTTTTTTTTTTATCCTCACTTGAGGATACTTTTTCCATTGATTTTTAGTCAGAGTTGAAGGGAAAGAGGGGAGAAGAGCGGGGGGCGGGGAGGAACATCGATGTGAGAGAGATACATCGACTGGTTGCCTCCTGCATAATCTCGACCCTGGGGATCGAACCTGTAACTCTTCCGTCCACAGGCCAGTGCTCTAACTGATGAGCAAAACTGGCCAGGGCTAAAATATTGGCACTCTTTTTTTTTTTTTAATCCTCACCCAAGGACATTTTTTCATTTATTGTTCAGATAGAGCGGGAGAGAGAGAGAAACATCGACCTGAAAGGGACACATTGAGTAGCTGCCACCCTCACGACCCAACCAGGGCTAGGGACAAACTGCAACCGAGGTACGTGCCCTTAGTGGGAACCGAACCCGGGTCTCTCTGGACCGCAGGCCTATGCTCTAACCGCTGAGCCAAACCAGCCAGGTCTCTTTTTTCCCCCTTTATTTATTTTTTATAATCTTGGCACTCTTTTTTTTTTTTTTTTTTTGTGGTACGTGCCCCTAGCGGGAACCGAACCCAGGACTCTCTGGTCCGCAGGCCGATGCTCAACCGCTGAGCCAAACTGGCCAGGGCAATCTTGGCACTCTTAAAGAACCCTTTGTCGAAACAACATTCCCAAGGTTGGATTTATATAAAGCAAGACTAGAGCTTGGTGGCAGTTATACATATCCTTATACATTTCCATATTGCCCAGGACAATGGGACTGTTGTGCTCAAGTGAACTCTTAACACCTTAAGCAAATCAGAATCTGCCAGCTGTGCAGGGGAGTAGGGTAATCTACCTCCCCTCAGACTCTGTGTGAATTCCACAAGTTTGAATTGCTGAGCCAGCCCCATGCCCCCACTACTGGACTGTGACAGGGGTATGAAATAAACTTTAATTGTGTTCAGCCGCTGAGATTTTCTTGTTGTTGACTACAGCAGTTAGCCTACCCTGATTGATATACTTTAGAAGCAAAAAAAGCAGGTCTGTAGGACTCAGATTTACCAAGAGAAATGGAGGATGGGCTGAAAATAACTTTACATAATAACAGTGACTACAGGGAACACATAGCATTATTCACCTTTAGTATTCAGACACCCACTTTACAGATGGGGAGACAGAATCTCAGAAAGGCACAAGTAAGCCACACAGCTAGGAAGTGCAGACCTGAGAGCATGTCAGCATGTCCTGGCCTGGCTCTGTGGTTTCCTAAGGTAAATGAGGGGGACAGAATTCATTGCATTTAAATATATATTCAATCTTTTAAAAAACCTTTATGTGAACTAGATGCTGATATAGAAAAGGGCATGTGACATATGTGTTCAATTCAATGAAGTGTCACCCAGTCTCCATGCCTGCGTGTTTACCACCCAGGCCCCTGTGATTGTCATGCCTTCTCTGGTGCGTCACAAACTGAGCTTTTTTTTTTTAATCCTCACCCAAGGACATTTTTGCATTTATCTTCAGATAGAGCGGGAGGGAGAGAGGGAGGAAGAGAGAGAGAGAAACATTGATGTGAGAAAGACACATTGAGTGGCTGCCACCCACACGACCCCAACCAGGGCGGAGACAAACTGCAACTGAGGTATGTGCCCTTAGCGGGAACCAAACCCAGGACTCTCTAGTACGTGGGCCAATGCTCTAACTGCTGAGCCAAACCGGCCAGGGCATAAACTGAGCTTTTAAACTGAAAAGTTCTATGACATTTCTCACAGGTAAATCTGTTTGCATTCAAGAGGGCTTTCTTTCTTTCTTTTTTTTTTTTTAAATTGAGATGAAATTCACAAAATATAAAATTACCTATCTTAAAGTGTATAATTCAGTGGTACTTGGCACATTCACAATGTTGTGAAACCATCACCTATATGTAGTTCTAGAACATTTTCATCACTCCAGAAAGAGACCCTGTCACTAACCCCTCGTCCAGCCCCTGCTCTGTTTCTATGGATTCATCTATTCTGATATTTCAGGTAAATGGAATCACACAGTGTGTTGTTTTTGTGTTTGGCTTCTTTCACCCAGTAGAATAATTTTGAGATTCATTCAAGTTGTGTGTGGGAGCAGTTTACTTCTTGCTCAGCAGTATTCTATTGTATGGATGCATACAAGTTTGTTTACTCATTCATCTGCTGCCAGTCGGGCTATTATGAATAAAGCTGCTATGAACATCCTGGTACAATATTTTTGTGAACATACAGAGTGGGGCAAAAGTAGATTTATAGTTGTTCATATGGAAAATAATACAATTAATAAATAATAATACAAGAATAAACTCTGTGTTTCACATACCCACAGCTATAAACATAATTTTGCCCCACCCCGTATACTTTCATATATGGAATAATAGGGTAGATGTATGTTGAACTTTTTTTTTTTAATCCTCACCTGAGGACATTTTTTTCCGTTTTTTGTTCAGATAGAGTGGGAGGGAGAGAGAGGAAGAGAGAAAGATTGAGAAACATCGACATGAAAGGGACACATCGAGTGGCTGCCACCCTCACGACTAACCAGAGCCGGGGACAAACTGCAATCGAGGTATGTGCCCTTAGTGGGAACCGAACCTGGGTCTCTCTGGACCACAGGCCGGTGCTCTAACCGCTGAGCTAAACCGGCCAGGGCTGTATGTTGAACTTTTAAAGAAACTGCCAAACTATTTACCAACACGGTTGTACCATTTTATATTCCCACTAGGAATGTATGAGCATTCCAGTTGCCCCACACTCTGGCCAACACTTGGTATTGTGTCTGTGAAATTTCAGCCTCTTAAATTCAGTCACATCTTGGTGGCCCCTAAATTCCAAACTGTTTCATCCTAGCCCAGGTTTTTGCAACCTCAATACTATTGACATTTTGGACTTCTCAACCAGATGCATTCTGTGTTGTGGGTGCTGTTCTGTGCTTTGGAGGATGTTGAGCAGTGTCCCTGGTCTCTACCTACTAGATGCCGGGAGCACCCTGGAGGAGTGCTATAGCTATCATAACAAATTACCCCAAACTTGGTGGCCTCAAACAACAGAAATTTATTCTGTCACAGTTTTGGAGGTCAGGAGTCTGAAATCAGCTTTATTTGGCTGAAGTCAGGGTGTCAGCAGGGCCACGCCCCCTCTGGAGGCTCTAGGTGAGAATCCATTTCTGGCCTCTTCCAGCTTTTGGTGACTGCTGGTCTCCTTTGCTTGTGGCTACATCACTTTACTCTTCAAGATGAGCATTTTCACATCTCTCTTTGTTCTGTCTTCACACGGCTTTCTTCGCTGTATGTAAAAGCTCCTCTGTTTCTCTCTTATAAGGATGTATGTGATCGCAAAAAGGGTCCACACATGCTCAGGAGGAGCTCCTTTGTCCCCGCTGCATTCCCCAGCCCTATCCCTGCTGTTTGAGCCCCCATCTCACATCTGTTTCTCTATCTTAGATTTCTCATCAAAGTCTCAAGCCACTAGGTTCTAGCTCAATTTTCCAAAAAGCCAATTCTCAGGTATAGTTAAGAGTATAGCCCTGGCCAGTTTGGCTCAGCGGTTAGAGCGTTGGCCTGCGGTCCGGAGAGACCCGGGCACGTACCTCGGTTGCAGTTTGTCCCCGGCCCTGGTTGGTCGTGCGGGTGGCAGCCACTCGATGTGTCCCTTTCACATCGATGTTTCTCTCTCTCCCTCCCACTCTATCTGTACAAAGAATGGAAAAAATGTCCTCGGGTGAGGATTAAAAAAAAAAAAAAAAAAAAAGAGTATAATCTTTTTCAACAACAATATAGTTTAAGACAATTTGTATTGGAGAGGGTGGCCTTATCAGCTTTGGAAGATTTAGGGGGCATTTTGGTTGACTGGTCATCATTTTGTCTTTTTTTTTTTTTTTTTTACTCATCTTTATTGTTAAATGTATTACAGATGTTTCCCCTTTTTCCCCCCATTGACCCCCTCCTCCCCAATCCTACCCCCCTCCTGCCTTCCCCACACTATTGTCAGTGTCCATTGGTTATGCATTATGCATAGAAGTTCTTAAATTTATCTCATGCTGCCCTCCCTCCCCCCTTCCCTTTGAGGTTCATCAGTCTAACAACCAATTTGTACTTCTTAATTTCTTCATCTTTTTCACCTATCCCCCCAGCTCCCATCCATCTGGCAAACAACAAAAAGTTCTCTGTATCTATGAGTCTGTTTCTGTATCTATGAGTTCTGTTTGATCATTTTGTTTGTAGATTCAATTATTGATAGATATGTATTAATTGCCATTTTATTGTTCATATTTTTGTTCTTCTTCTCCTTCAAGAAGACCCTTCAACATTTCATATAATACTGGTTTGGTGGTGTTGAATTCCTTTAGCTTTTTCTTGTCTGGGAAATTCATGATATGTCCATCAATTCTAAATGAGAGCTTTGCAGGATAGAGTAATCTTGGTTTTCATCACCTTGAATATCTCTTGCCACTCCTTTCTGGCCTGCAAAGTTTCTTTTGAGAAATCAGCTGACAGTCTTATGGGAGCTTCTTTGTAGGTAACAAACTGATTTTCTCTTGCTGCTTTTAAGATTCTCTTGTATTTAACCTTTGGCATTTTGATCATGATGTGTCTTGGTGTGGACCTCTTTTGGGTTCATCTTGTTTGGGACGGTCTGTGCTTCATGGATTTATATGTCTGTTTCCTTCACCAAGTTAGGGAAGTTTTCTGTCATTATTGTTTCAATTTCTTGTTCTCTCTCTTCTCCTTCTAGCACCCCTATGATGCGAATATTGGCATGCTTGAAGTTGTCCCAGAGGCTCCTTACACTGTCCTCATTTTTAAAAATTCTTTTTTTTTTTTTTTGCTGTTCTGATTGGGTATTTTTTGCTCCCTTATATTCCAAATTAATGGTTTGCTTCTTGGCTTTACCTACTCTACTATTGACTCCCTGTAAATTATTCTTTATTTCAATTAGTGCATCCTTCATTTCTGACTGGTCCTTTTTTATGTTGTTGATATGCTCACTAAGTTCCTTGGAGGTATCCTTAAGTTCCTTGAAGGACTCACTAAGTTCCTTGAGCAACCTTATACCCTGTGTTTTGAACTCTGCATCTGATTGATTGCTTATCTCCATTTTGTTTAATTCTTTTCCTGGAGTTTTGTTCCTTTGTTTCATTTGGGACACGTGTCTTTGTCTCCTCAATTTGGCTGCTTCTCTGTGATTGTTTCTATGTATTAGATAGAGTTGCTATGTCTCCTAGGCTTTGTAAGATGGCCTGTTGTTGTAGGTGTCCTATAAGATCCAATGGCACAGCTTCCCTGACCTGGGCCCTCGAGGTGCACCCCTAGTGTGGACTGTACATCTTTCTGTTGTAATTGAGTCTTGATTGCTGTTGGCACATCAATGGGAGGGATTTACCCAGGCTTATCAGCTGCAAGGATTGGCTGTGCCTACTGGCCACTGGCCTCTGACTACCTTGGAGGAACCCACCACACAGAGTAAGACATACTTCATCAGGGCTCTGATACCCACTGAGTCTGCTCATTGAGTAACATTTTGTTTTTGTAAGAGCATTTTTCAGAGTGGTCCATTTGCCTCTGTGACTGTAGGAGTTGGACAGAGAGGGGTACTTGACTAAAAGAGGGACAATGATGAGAGTCAGCTGTGTCGCAGCCAGGACACTGCTACCAGAGGATAAGGAGGCTGGGGGCAAGGGCAAGGGAGACTGAGAGAATATCCTTATGAATTAACATCTTATTCAATAATACATTTAAGAATATAGTCATAAATTCTTGTAAATATATTAATGAAGAATCTATTCTTTGACTTCATATTTGTAAAGAATATATTCATGAAAATATACTTGAACATAGTTAATATCTTGAATGTTCTCATTGCTGGATCTTTCATGATAATAGAAAGACAATCATGGGGAATCTACTCTCAGTAGGGAGCACCTTGTCTTTCCACTTAACTCACTCAGTAGCCTTAGCCATGTCGTCAGTCCACTCTCTTCTCAACTGGGAGTAGGGCAGAGACTAATGGAATGTTCCTTGAAACACTGTTATGAATTGGCTCTTGATGAATTGGATTTCAACAAATGAGTGTGCAGCTTATTAGCTGCTGGGGAACATCTACATGTGGATGTCAGTCAAGTTCTTGAAGCAGACCAAATTACCTCCTTGCCTCACATTGCCCGTCTGTATGACAGCGCCATTGATTATGTTCTTGTGCGTGTCAGAATCACAACTGTCAGCCTGGTCCTTCATTGCCCTGTTCTCCATAAGGCGGCAGGCCCCAGCCATTCTGTGTCTCCAATACTCTCCGGTACCTTTCCTCTTCTCCAGTGTCACTGTCCCTGGCTTGGGTCAAGTCTTCCTTGGCTCTTCCCTAAATGAGAGTGCTAGAAGCTGCCTGACATCTATCCTTCTGACTTGTTCTTCCTGTTGCCCAAATGAGGAACCTCAAAGATTTAAAAAATTCTGAAACTTGCCCTGGCCAGTTTGGCTCAGTGGTTAGAGCGTCGGCCTGCGGTCCAGAGAGACCCGAGTTCGGTTCCCGCTAAGGGCATGTACCTCGGTTGCAGTTTGTCCCCGGCCCTGGTTGGGTTGTGCGGGTGGCAACCACTCGATGTGTCCCTTTCACGTCGATGTTTCTCTCTCTCTCTCTCTCCCTCCCACTCTATCTGAACAAAATATGGAAAAATGTCCTCGGGTGAGGATTAAAAAAAAAAAAAAAAAAAAAATTCTGAAACATTCCAAACCCAGGTGAAATGTAGAGAATAACATGATCAACACTGTATACCTACCCCCCCAAGCTTCTCAAATCTTTACATTTACCATTTTTGCTTCAAATCTTATATTTTTAAGAAATAAAACTTAGCCCTGGCCTGTTTGGCTCAGCGGTTAGAGCGTCCACCTGCGGTCAGGAGAGACCCAGGTTCGGTTCCCGCTAAGGGCGCGTACCTCGGTTGCAGTTTGTCCCCGGCCCTGGTCGGTTGTGCGGGTGGCAGCCACTCGATGTGTTCCTTTCACATCGATGTTTCTCTCTCTCTCTCTGTTCCTCTCTCTCCCTCCCACTCTACCTGAACAAAAAATGGAAAAATGTCCTCGGGTGAGGATAAAAAAAAAAAAAAAAAGAAAGAAAGAAAACTTAAAAAACATGTACTTGAAGCTCTCTCATTACTCTTTTCCCAGGTCTCATCCCTCTTCTTTCCACCTGGCTATCTTCAAGGGACACTTATCTTTTCCATGCATCTTTGTATACTTTTACTACTTACATATGTAGCCATAAACTGCAGGTAGTGATATTTTGTTTGTGTTTTTTAACAGCTCCACTGAGATGTAGTTTACATGCCATAAAATGCCGTTTTAACTGTACATTTTAATGATCTTCAGTAAATTTACTGAGTTGTGCAACCAATACCACAATTCTATATTTGTTATTTGTTTTAATAATAGCTTTATTGAGATATAATTCACATACCATAAAATTCATCCATTTAAAGTGCACAATTCAGTAGTTTTTAGTATATTCACAAAGTTGTGCAACTGTCATCGCTATCTCATTGCAGACCATAATATTGTCATCACTCCAAAGAGAAACTCCATCCCCATTAGCAGTCACTCCCCACTTTCCCCTTTTCCAGCCCCCGGCAATCACTCTTCTGTTTCTGTCTTTCTGGATTGGTCTATTCTGGGCATTTTATATAAGTGGAATCATACACTATGTAGTCTCTTATGACTGCTCCATCTCTATAATCCAAGATTTTTATAGAATAATTACTGCATGCCAAATACTGGTGCTCGGAATACATATGGAATTTAATAGCATACAGGGGTGATTTAGATTTTGATTCCTACAACTTCTAGTCCATCTCTATTTTGGTAAAGCTGTTACAAAAGGGGAGCAACATATAGGAGATAACATGATTATCAGTGTGGGTGTGGCTGAGGTGCAGACCTGGAGCAGTAGGCTGGGTTTGACTGGAGTTGGCGGTGAGAGGAGGATGACAGACCCTGAACCTAAATCTAGTCTTGATGTAGGACCACTCACTGGCAGCACAAGCTCTGGGCAGGGTACTCAGAGAGTATTACTTTCTCTTTTACTCCCAAGACAAGCACTGATGGAAGAACTGGTGAATGACCACCTGCAGCGGCACCTGAATGAAATTTACCATCTCAAACAGAATCTGGCCTACACTGAAGAGAAAATGGCTTATCTTTCCTATGAGAGAGCCAAGGAAATATGGGTGAGTTTCTCATCGGGGAGCTTTTTGAAAAAGGGCCAGTGAGAAGGATGTAAGGATGAGAGAAGCAAAGGATAAGCAAATAACCTCCAGACCAAGGAAAGAGACATACATATTCAAGCTGTACCCCTCCTGAGGGTTCAATGGCAACTCACACTTTTTTTTTTAGAACTAGCAGTGTCCAATCTTTATGTTCATGCCACACTCCCCAACCCACACCCTCTTAGCTCCTCTGGAAACTTGGGCATTGTAGTTCTTATACTTGAGCATGCATCAGAACCACTTGCAGGGAGTGTTGATGAGTGCCCGGGAGCTACTGCTTGTGCAGGGAACACCAGTTGGGAACCCCTGCTTTAGACCCTGGAGTGACAAAGGTGGGTGAAAGATTTTCCTCTTTGGTGATAGCCTCACTCTCTTCCACACCCTCAGACCTTACACCTGTCCTTGGTCAGCTCTCTCATGGCCAGACTCTCAGTTTCAGACCATATTGGATGAGGGCTGAGTCAGATGAGACCTTCACTTTACTGGGAACCATGGACCCCCCCAAGACAGGGCCTTCAGCATGTAGGTTCTTTAGGTTTTTGACTTCCCTTTTAAATCTTCAGCTCACCAACACTTGCTGTGCAACCCTTAGGAACTCAGGTAAATGACCGCACTTCCCTTCTGTCCTCTGGTGAGGGCATGTGTTTTTGTCACCTGCAGGAAGTCATGGAGACTTTTCAGAGCCGTATATCCAAGCTTGAAACTTTACAGCAAGTGACTCAACTGGACGTGACAGAGAACCTCAGGAGCTGTTCCCAGAAGTTTATGTTCCAATTTCTGAACCTGCTCCTCACACTGGCCACCATCTTCTTGGTCTTCATCTTTACGTCGTGTGCCTGCCCCTTGCCATTGTTGAATTCACACCTGCGCACATGCATCATGCTCATGCTGATCGGGGTTGGGGTCCTGGCCTGGAAGAAGTGGCATGCTATCCCTTCCATGGACTGGCAGGGCTGGATCCCCTCCAGATGGAGACTATATTCCAAGGACTCCAAGCCTATATCAGATGGGTCTTAAAGGGCCTGGGTTTGCTAGCTCCTCCCCCTTCCAAGTGTCAGGGCATCCAACCAGGGCTCCCCAGACAGCCACTTCTCAGTTCTCCCTTTCAGATTTTACTAGCACCGGCCCCATGAGAAGTGTATGAGTGCTCACCCAGCTCACAGTTCCCTTCCTCACAATCCTTCCATACCATCTGCAGACATGAGGTTTGGAAAAGATTAAAGTCTCTGAAGTACAGTGCTGTTATGCCCTCTAAACCCCTCACGCCCTCTCACAATCGAGTGACTGCGCACTCAGAGGCTCAGGTGACTCCCTCTGTGACTTTGTTGTTTTTGGCAAAGAGAAACTACATTTATCTCACAGGGGTGGAGAAGAAGGGATGGTGGGGGTGGGGCCAAAGCCTCGGTGAGTGGAACAGGGGTTACATTTTCCTGGGAGAGACTCATGCAGGTGACACCGAAGAGACAGATGAAGCCTCCGTTTTTGAGGTGCTGGAGAGTTCAGAGCTATCATCCACTTTCTTCCCAAAAAGCTGCAAGATGCAGTTTCGAAACTGGCAGGATAGAAAGTGTTATTCAGCAGAGCAGAAAGGGTCAATGTGCTATGCTAAAGGTAATGCTTAGGGCATTCGGAGGAAGGTATTCATTGTCACCTGGATGACTTAACACCTTCTCTCCTATCATTCAGAATCCTACAAAGCGAATGGAGGAAGATTCAGGTTGTTCCTTGCACATGGAGATGGGCTATTCCTGACTATCCCGGTCATCTAAATCATCTAATTTAGCAACTGATGATGGCTTTTGTAGGTCACATTATGTCCCCAAAAAGGATATGTTCGAGTCATAATGCTTGGGGGTCTATGAATGTGACTTTATTTGGAAATAATTTTTGCAAATGTGATTAAGATATACATTACCATGAGCTCATGCTGGAGTAGAGTGGCCCCCAATCCAATGACTGGTGTCCTTATAAGTAGAAGGGAATTTGGACACCAACACACAAGCACAGAGCAAAGAAGGTCATGTGAAGGTGAAGACAGAGATCAGGGTGACTCGTCTACACATGAAGGAACAGCAAATACCCACCCACCAGAAGCTAGGAGAGGGGTATGGAACAGATTCTCCCCCAGAGCCCTTAGAAGAAACTAACCCTGCTGACCTCTTGATCTCAGACTTCTGGCCTCCAGAACTGGGGGACAATTTATTTCTGTTGCTTAAAGCCACCCAGTCTGTGGTAGATAATTATGGCACCCCAGGGAACTCATACAGTGACCAAAGACGATGTAGCTAAGGGGCCCATGCATAGATAGAATAACCTGTCTCCAGAATGTCTGGGAAGAGGCATTTTAGTGAAAGGGAACATGATTGTCATCTTGTTTGTATTCTGTCAATTTTGAGGGTAGATGAGAGCTAGGTAGACAACAGACTAGCCACCACCTCATCTCTTTAGCCAAGATCATCTTCTGGCACTAGAAGGGCCCTGGTCTTTGCTGCTTGATCCCTAAAGAGATCTGGGCTGTATTCATTTCTCAGATTACATCTCAGACCATCACTGAGCTAACCAAAATGCTTTGAGAACGCAGATCAGATGCATTTCCTATATATTATTCCAGGCCTATTCTTTTTTGTTGTTTTTAATCCTTACCTGAGGATATTTTACTGTTGATTTTTAGATAAGATAGAGTAGAATAGAGGGAGGGGGAGAGAGACAGAGAGAAACATCGATGTGTCACATGGATTGGTTGCCTCCCACACGACCCTGACCTGGACTGGGGATTGAACCTGCAACCAGGTATGTGCCCTTGACCGGAATTGAACCATGACCCTTCGGTCAGTGGGTCATGCTCTAACCATTGAGCCACACCGACCAGGGCTCCAGGCCTATTCTTGACTACCTCCAGCTCTCTCCAACATCAAAACTCTCAAAAATGAAAAATGTAATTGTTTAAATCGATTACATAAGAAATGGGCTGGACTGCAGAATCAACTCAGCTGAAAAGCTGGCAGATGAGGCTAAAAAATTCATTAACACATTCGCTTAACATCTATCTACTGACTGTGTCCTAGGGGCATCAGCAGGGATGTCCTCATGGAGTTCATTCCAGAAAGCTCTCTCAGCATGCAATAGGAAGAGGTAACAATGTGAAAAGGGTGAAAGAAAAGTTTGAAAGCCTGGAGAGGTCCAGAAGTGTAGACATCTCTCTAGGAGGGGGAGAATGGAAAGACTCAAGTAAAGACAGTACTTGGCAAGCTAGCCTAGGATTCCACAAACGAAGGCCAGACCTAAAAAGAGACCCATGTGAAAGACAGGAATCAGGGATAGAACTATACTCTGGATATTGAGGTGCCAAGAATGAAACCCCGGGGAATCAATTGTGGTACTGGTCCCACTAAATATTTAAACATTACCAAAAGAATGCATGCTTAAGGAACTCAACAGAGAGTCTGGGCCAGGTGGGAGGGGGAGGAACTATGGGGCAACTGTGAAATGGAGGAGTAAAGAATAGCCCGTTGAATGGAGTAGACTGGGTCTGGTGAAATAGGAGGTCCCTGAGGGGACAGTATTTCTAACCCACAGGCCTTTCTGGTCACCAAGTCACATCACAGATGTACCTTAATGAAGTTGACATGATGGATTCAAGGAAGAGTAAGACAAATTGTACTTGGAAGATGATGAGACTCAATAGTCACCTGTAATCTACCAAGAAGTCTAGCAGTCATAGGCAGTTTGCTGCAGAGGCCCAATATGCCAGCCCATGCTGGCTGCTATCTGGGAAGACTTTGGGTGAGACAACAGCATGTCCACCCTAGACTAACCTATAAAGCCACAAAGGCCACAGGTCAGTGCAGCCAAGAAGGGCCTTTTTTATGTCCTGGTCAGAGTTAGGGGCTAAAGATGGAAAGACGAAGGTTAAGAGGAGTTGCACCAGTAATGACAAGAAGTGCATATCTAGGGTAAATGTGGCCATGTTCAGGCAATCCTCTGGTTTTTGAGCTCTAGGTTAGCCCTGAGGCCAACAGAAGGGAAGAGCTCACAGGCACTGCAGGAAATACCCACCCTTAGGCAGAACCCGGAGGGAAGGCTGCCTGGGGTTGGAACACATACTGAGCTTTCTCCAGTCATTGTTCCAGAGGCCAGACATGATTCCGGTGAGAACCATCATGGGGTTCTTCCGGGGCCTATTTCTAGTTTGCTTGGCTGATGGAGTGACTTACCTGACGGTTCATAAAGACATAGATAATGGGGTTGTAGATAGTGGCACTTTTGGCAAAGTAAGCTGGCAGGGCGGCCACCAGAGGGTGGAAGGCGTAGCCAGGGTGCGCAGCAGCAAAGCATGCAAAGAAGGTGTAGGGCCCCCAGCAGAGGCAGTATGCCAGGATCATCACCACCACCATGCGTGTCACCTCCTTCTCTGCCTTCTGGGTGGATTCGGATTCTTTCTGCTGCTTTGCCACCTGGGGTAGACAGAGGGTTGTACCAAGGTACAGTAAGTGGAAGAGTCCCTTAGGGCTCTGAATCTGAAGGGACTCTGTGTTCCTATTGCTTGGGCAGCAAGTCTGGGAGACAGTAAGTGATGAGTGGCCCAGGGAAGAGGAGTCATGGGGAGAAGGAGATGTGCCCACCCACTATAGCACCCTGGCCAACCAGCCATCAGCTCCCATCTGAGTGAGTGCATGCGTGGCCGGGGTGCCTCCCCAGAGCTGCACAGGCTTTGAGGTAGCACACAGCTGAACCTGGCTGAGATGGTTCTGAGCTGGGGCCTTCCAAGCTCTTGGCTCAGCTTGGCTCCCTTTAGGAGTTTGGGCAGGAGCTAAGGAGGCTGTTCTTAGCCTCACCTGATCAGCATGCCTCATCCTGTGCTCCTGTCTGAGGGGTTGGGCAGGAGAAGACACAGGGGCTGCCTACTGTCTGCTATGGGCAGGGACCGATGGCAGGCAGCTAAATGGGCATGAGGGGAAACTGTGAGGGCAGGCAACACATTCTGGAGCCTGGGCTCCACAACTCAGACCTAATATAGCACAAGCTATGGTTACACACCTCGGGGAGCCAGCTAAGTTGGTTCTTTCTGATCCCTGACCACCAACAGGGTGGGGGAAGGAAGAGGAGGGGATATCACAGGCTGAAGGTAGTGAGATAAGAGGAGCTTATCTTGAGCCCATGGCCTCCTCCTCTCTAGAGAGAGCTTATAAGCACATGCTGATCGGATTGTGGGCAAAAGCAGCTTCATATAAGAAAGGTGCCACCCCAAAGGACCTTCTACCATCTGTGCCAAGCAGGATCCCAACAGGACCAGATGGCACATCCAGATCAAGCTAATTGTAGCTTAGCTCATTGATAAAGGGACAACTTACAGTATTCAAGAGACCACAAGGGGAGCACCCCAGGACCCAATCTCACTCCCCTGTCTTGCTCTGATTTCCTGCAAGGGCTCTCCTGTGGTAGCCCAGCTTTTGTAGGGAAGGAGGGGCATGGCTGTGGACAGGATCAACTTCCTAGGAAGGAGGAGAGTGGAGAGGGATCTGGGGGGTAAGTGACACATGTTAAGTCACTCCTTAGTGTGCCCCAACAGAAGAGTGAAGGGGACAAGGGCCCTCCAGTGGCAGCCTTTTAAAAATACTCATTGAGCCCTGGCCGGTTTGGCTCAGCGGTTAGAGCGTCGGCCTGCGGTCCTGAGAGACCCGGGTTCGGTTCTCGCTAAGGGCACGTATCTCGATTGCAGTTTGTCCCCAGCCCTGGTCGGTCGTGTGGGTGGCAGCCACTCGATGTGTTCCTTTCACATCGATGTTTCTCTCTCTCTCTGTTCCTCTCTCTCCCTCCCACTCTACCTGAACAAAAAATGGAAAAAAAATGTCCTTGGGTGAGGATAAAAATACTCATTGATTTGCAGGTTTTACTTTCAGATCCGGCTGCCCCTAGAACTGTCCTGGATCAGGAGGAATGCAGCTCTGCTCCATTATTGGGGTACTCCCTTCCCATTCTATAAGGACAAGGACAAGGGAGCCAGGGCTGAAACTGCAGTCCCAAAGAAATTGCTAGATTCACGTCTGGTTTGGGGGCAAGAGAGTGCACTGGGTGATCTCATCTGTCCCTGCCCAGACATTCCTGGCCTTATGATCCTACCAGCCAGGGGTGAAGCCAGGAGGGCATGGGGGCTTACAGCTCGGATGGCCAACCACACTTGGAGGTAGCAAAGCACGATGACGCTGAGCGGGATGATGCAGCATGTGGTCATGAGGACAATCATGTACGACTGCACCCCAGGGTACGAGCTACCGCTGAACACATCTGGGCCGCATGAAGTCTTCAGGCCATGAGGCCAGTACCTGGATAGAAGGGCCGGCAGCCTGTCCTGATGCATGCAAGGCAACCTTGGACACCCCAGCCCAGGTATGCCATTGATTTGGGTAGGGTTGTTAGTTTATTTTTTATTATTGAGGTGAAATTCACATTACATGAATTGACCATTTTTGAAATGAACAGCTCAGTGGCATTTAATACATCCATTACCACTATCTGGTTTCAGAACATTTTCATCACCTTGATCACATCCCCTTTCTACAAAGGGAGGGTGAAACACCCTCTTGCTTTCTAAGAACCTGTGAGTACCCGAATCTTTTTTCTGGGTCAACTAGATCAGCCTGTTGCCTGAAGTTGTAGGCATTTTTCCATGTGTTCCCGTGAGCAGCTCACTCTTGGGAGAAATAGACCTTTCCAGAGGCTTGGAGACCATGGGTCCCATTTCCATGTTGCTGTCAGCCAGATTTATACATTTATAGACACTGCATGCTTGAAGGGATCTCAGAGAGAGTCAGGTCTATCCTCACTTTGTTCATGAAGCCCGTGGTGGGCCAGAGACAGAAAACTATTTGCCCTGAGGTCACAGAGGGAATCACTAGTTTGACCCTCCCCTCTCTGTCCTAACAAGCCACCTTCCTGGTACCCTGGCATCCTTACCTGCTCCAACCAAAGATGGGCGGGGCCGTCCACACAGCAGCCCAGACCCAGGAGAAGGTGATACCTGCGATAGCCAGTTTGGCATCAAATCTTACGTTGCCAAAAGGCTTGCAGACCACCATCCACCTCTCCCAGGAAATGATGGCCAGGGACCAGAGACCCGTGATCCCTGCAGGAGAGAACAGACAGATGATGGCTTTGAGCCTCCTACATCACTTCTTCCATCTGGACCAGCCGACAGTTTTCCAGATGAAGAGGCACCCCCCCCCCCAACTACCTTCAAAACCTCATTCTCCAAAGAGTGTTTTCAGGTTCAGGGGGCACTGGGTCTCTTGGTCAATTTCATTTTCTAACACCTGCTTTACCATTTTTTCCCCATTAGGCCTCTCCTTGCCCCCTGTGATTCGGCCTCTTGGTCCACCTTGCTTCCCCTCTTTCTTTTACTTGGCCACCAGCCATGTACACACCAGAATGACCCACTGACCTGTCATGATCCCAGCCAAGAGCTGTGCCTCTCCTGCCAGCATGCACACATTCTCAGCTGTTCTCAACCTGTGGGTCACGACCCCTTTGGGGGTTGAACGACTCTTTCACAGGGGTTGCCTAAGACCATCGGAAAACACATACTTCCGATGGTCTTAGGAACCGAAACACTTCTCCTCTATCCATCTCCAGGCGGGTCCGCCCACATGCCCATATGCCTACATACAACATGAGGAACTGTATTAAAGGGTCGCAGCATTAGGGAGGTTGAGAACCACTGCTTTAGGTGCTTGGAATCCCCTCCCTGATATCCCACCACCTTCCTTCGTTTAGCAGGTGGAGACAATGTATCCTGTGCTGCTTAGACCCCAGGGTCTGTGCACAGAACTCAGGAGCCCATGAACTGGGGTGAGGAAAATGACATCTTTGTTTCTACTAACCTCTAACGAACACTGGCATTTCCTTCCATTATGAGTTTGGCAGCATTAGCGGTGCCCGTGACTTGGTCACTTTATAGAGGTGGCAGACATTTACCAATATCCCTATGTTCATTCCCACTTTGAAAATTCAGTGGCTGTCAGGCCAGATCCAGTTATTTGATACTTTAATAAAGAATAGTGTCACTAATACTTCTAATACCACTTATTTAATTATAATATAATCAAATTTAGTATTATAATTTTAATACTAATACTTTAAATGAAGGACTATGTTGCTAATTACTGTTTAATACTTTGATAACTATATTTCAGTATCATTGTAATGCTCTGTAATCCTATGGACCTCATGTGCATTTGCAACCATTCTTCTGAGAATGGGTTCATATGTTTCCCCTGAGGGCCAGGGGGTGTCTGTGGTACCAAAACTGGTTCTGAAGTGCTGGCATCATGTTAGCACCTACTTCATAGGGTTGTGGGAGGTTTAACGTGTTCATTTAAATCTTCCCCCAAGTCCTGTCCCCATTTTACAAATGGAAAAATGGAGAAAGAGCAAAGCAGTTAAGTAATTTAGTGGAATTCACACCCCCAGTAATTCAAATCTGCGGCCAGGCTCCCCCCTCCCCAGGTCCTTCCTATCTTAGGGTCTCTTTCTCTTTCTGTTGTTCACCTCCTCAGAAACCAAACTGGAGATCAGTTTAGTTGGCAATGAGACAAGCCCAAGTTAGATATGGGAACTAAGAACTTAGGCCTGGTGGCCAGATGGCCCTGAGAAAGTTTTTTTTTTTTTTTGGTTAATCCTCACCCGAGAATATTTTTCCATTGATATTAGATAGAGTGGAAGGGAGGAAGGGAGAGAGAGTGAAACATCGATGTGAGAGAGACACATGGATTGGTTGTGTCCTGCACGACCCCAACCAGGACCAGTGATTGATCCCACAACCCTGGTATGTGCCCGTGACTGGAAATTGAACCCTCAACCTTTCGGTCCAGGGGCTGACGCTCTAACCGATTAGCCAAACCTTGTAGGGAGGTCCTGAGAAAGTTTTAAAATGGGACAGCAGCTGCAAGCTTCAGCTGGTTTGATAGGCAGGGGCCTGGAGACAGGCTGCATGCACTGAGTGCTGTGGCCCTTGGGCTCCTGTTGTCTTGAGTGGATACCAGGGCTGTAAACCTGCAGCTTTCTGTTCTCTCATGGGGCCATAGTACAAAGGCCACTGGAGGGGACCTCAGCCTCATCAGGCCTGCTTATCCTTCTCTTCCTCGTGGGCCTCTGAGAAAGCAACCTAGCCTCATGGCAGCCACCTCACCTCACCAGGTGCCCAACGTGCGACAGATCTCTGCTCTAACCTTCTTGACACTCCTGTTGATATGACTTTGGTTCCCTCACACAGACTCCCTTCCATCTTCCAGCCTCTTCCTGAATGTCCCCCTCCAGTTCCCTCCTCCCAAAATAAAGTCCCCACTCCTGTGTGTACCATCCCAGGCTTGCCTGTCTGCTCAGAAGTTGCTCACCAGTTATCTGACCACCAAACCATTGACTGAGCCTGGCTTCCCTTGGCCACCTCGCCCCAGCCACATTCTCATTCTGCTGACTGAAGATTCAGCTCATTCAGGACACGGTCCTCTGAGAGGACTGATGGCACTGTGTAGTCACTATCTGGCATAGGGCTTCCTCTTCCCAGGACTTGGGAACACCTCGAGGCTGGAACCCTGTGTGTAGCATCCTATATGCCTGGTGTCCAGCACAAAGCCCAGCACATGGGTTCTTCTTAGCCAAGTTGACCTGAATGGAGCCACGGCCCACAGAGAGATTAGTGATGGGGATGGGGAAAGGGATCTGAGAATTGCTTTTTTCCCTGAAAAAAGCCAACACAGGTGAGCTGAAAGAGAACACATTCCTGATTTGGGTGGGAGTTCTGTTCAGGGCGCCAAAAGCCCCCCCATTGTTCTGGGGTCATCTGGCTCTATACCTGTCTCCTTACATGCCAGATGCATGGCCCCAAACTGGCTGCCCAAAGGCAGAACTTATTTCAGAGTAGGCACTGAAGGTGTACTGGACTGCACAAGCGCCCCACCTAAATGATAACCCAGGCCCAGTTTCCCCTGAAGGTCTATCTCCCTTCAAACCTGTGCATTGCAGGCACACCTGGGGGTTTGCCCTGTGAGTATTTCCTTTATGCACAGTAGGCTGGGTCTCTCCTGAGCCTGGGCCCTCAACTGGCTTACCACAGAGCGAGACAGTGTAGCCCTCCACGATGCACAGAGGGTGGCCCAGCACAAAGTAGCCATAGATCTGGTTCACAATGCTGATGGTGCTGGCGATGATGGTCTCTGCTAGGTCAGCGACCGCCAAGTTCACCAGGATCCAGTTCAGAGGATGGCGCAGCTTCTTGAACCTCATGGTGGCCACCAGCACAAGCCCATTAGTGAAGACAGATGCAATGACTACGAAGACCATCCAGGCACTGGTGAGGTGGTACACCCATCTGGGAGCAATGTGGTAATTGGGGCCTTCAAAGGGGCCTGGAGGCATGAGGTACAGAGTAGGTAGCAGCATCACTCACCTATACAGCTACACGCATCCCCCCCTCCCCACCCTGCCAGAGCATCCCCTCAACCCTCCCGCTTTCCTGTCGGCCACTTTTGCAACTGGCTCTTTCCCCTCTAGCTTTGTCCATCCGCAAACAACCTGCCCTCCATCCTGTCTCTAAGGTCAGAGGATGTGGCTTGCTGGACAGCTGCACGGGCATCTTTGAACTTAACAAAGCAGAACTCCTCATCATCTTTGCTGGGTATCTCTCTATCCTCTGATTCACCCCCCACACCCAGTATGCTGGGCCAGCCCTCTGTAGTGCCATTGGCAGGCTTCTGGTTCCCTGAACTCCCTGCACTATTTTCCTTGCACACTTCACGTCTTTCTGTTGTTGGATCTTCACTCACACTCTCCCCTGCACCTGGGTCCTCTTCCCTTCCATACTTTAAAGCCCGGTTCAGATGCCCTTGACTTCTGGGAGCCTTTCCAGATTCCCCAGCTGAGAGTCAACTTGGTCCCTTGGCACTACCACAATGCTGCTCTATGATGTTCTAGTATGTATTGGAGTTACCAGGAAATAAAGAGGTTTAGTGTAAGAATAGCAACTGGAAGTGCGAGATGTTTGGAACATTCCAGTTTGCAGGCAAATGTAAGGGGCTGGAGCAGTTTCAAAATGAGGCAGACTGAGTGTCCTTCCTGGACAACTCATGGAGTCCAGATTGGGCAGTGCAGGGACAAGAGGGACAGGGTAAGAACAAGGGCCGTGCACGGTGGTGGAGGAGACAAGGGCACTCTGAATATGGGAGGCCTAAGAGGAGGGGCCTCTAGCAGAGCAACTGTGCAGGTGCCCCAGCCTGCTCTTCCCCCCTGAAAGCTCTGGGACTCATTTCATGAAGAAATGAGCATGAGAAGGTATTCTAAAAAATACAAGAAGGATGGGAATCAGGTATAGGGGCAGGCAGAGAAGCAAAATTTCTTTAAATGTACCTTGTTTTCTAGATTTTAATTTGGAACCTTGTAAATATTTTATTACACAATTTTAAAACAACATTAAATTTTAAAAAGCAATTCCTGAAAAAAAAAAAAGAAAAAAGAAACAAATGGACCTAAATGCATAGTCACTTAGTGGTATAATCACATAGAGAGGGAGTATTCTAAGGGACTTGAAAAGATACTAGCTTGACTATGTGAACCTAGGGGTATATACCCTAAAGATAAAAAGACCTGTCCAAATATTACATTTTTGGTAATCATGTTGTTGGCAATTGTGTTAATACTATATTCTTAGACCATTGTGAGTGTATGTGGAATAAAGCAAATGATTAAATGATATTCTAATTCTGATTCTACCAAAGTTCTTGAGAACACGATTCTTGGTGAGAAAGAAAGGAAATACAGAGGTCAAACCCAATTGGCTCCACTGGGGAACCAAGTCATTATTTTGAAATGGGAGAGATAAAAGGGAAGAATCAAGCATTTCTCCTGCCTTTCCCATATTCACTCCCCTTGGGGGAACACAATGGTAGATGAGGGCGGGTTTCTCTTTATCGAAGTAGTCCAGCTAACAGTGAAGACGGTCAGAATGTTATTTTTGCAATCCCCAGTGGTCTAATGGGTCTGGGCATTGGACTTCAGCAGCTGCCAACACCCTGGAAAAAAAGACACCCTCCTAATGGAGCAGTCTTGCCAAAACACCTGACAAATCCAGCTGGCCTCTTAGCAAACCTTCAGATCAACTGCCAGTTTACAGAAACATCCTGATGAATGAGGTGGGAGGGACATGGGAAGCCACACATGGGAAGACATCAGCAAAATCTGAAGTGGGTGAGTCAAGGAATTAATTTTCTTTGACAAATACAATGCAAAGAGGTTGAGGGGAAAGCTCTAAATTCAAAAAGGATGAAAAGACATATCAATCAATAGAAACACGTGGGCCTTATTTGAACCCTGATTCAAACAAACTGAAAAAAATGTTTAAATGCTGACTGGGATTTGATGATATCAAGGCAGTGTTACATTTTAGGTGTGATAATGACATTGTAGTTATGTTTTCTAGAGTCCTTTCCTCTTAGTGGTGTATATTGAAGATTTATAGAGAAAATGGTGTGATATCTTGGATCTGCTTCCAGAAATCAGAAGGAGGGGTTAGTAGAGAGGGTTACAAATGAAATAGGAGAAATGCTCGATACCTAGGGATTTACTATACTTTTCTCTCTACTTTGGTAGATACTTAAATTTTTTTTTTATCCTCACCCTAGGACATTTTTGCATTTATTTTTTCAGATAGAGCAGGAGGGAGAGAGGGACGGAGAGAGAGAGAAACATTGACGTGACCCCATTGCTGATCACTGCCCTGGTCACCAAGAAACCAAGGTATGTAAGATATTCTTTTTGTTCAGATAGAGTGGGAGGGAGAGAGAGAGAGAGAAACATCGATGTGAAAGGGACACATTGAGTGGCTGCCACCCACACTACCCAACCAGGGGCCGGGGACAAACTGCAACCGAGGTATGTGCCCTTAGCGGGAATCGAACCCGGGTCTCTCTGGACCGCAGGCAACGCTCTAACCGCTGAGCCAAACCGGCCAGGGTGAGTAAGACATTCTTGAAGGAACCAATGGTCTTTGGTTTGGAGGAGGAATCTGGGGAGGAGTCCAGGGCTGGGATCACTAGTATCCTCAGCTCTTTGAAAGGCTTACATGCAAAGCTTTTTGACTGGGCCACTCCCAGGGCAGAACTCAGCTGCCTTGACAATGTTCAGTCTCTTTGGAGCATAAGCCCTCTCTCGCCATGGACCAGCTCTAAGAGGAAGGGAGGCCCTGGCAGTAGAGCAAACTTCTTTCCCCAGGTACGAAGTTGGACAAGATGATCAAGACAGTCTCTTCTGACCCGAAGGTTCTAGAAGTTACTCATTCCCTCCCCAAAGCCTCCTGCTCCTAGAGTTTGCCTCCTTTTGGCTTCAGAACATACAAAGATGAGTCAGACCTGGGTCTTTCCTCAGACTTGAATGTAATGAGTGCTCACTAGCAGTATGGGGTCACACAGAAAGGGAAATTAACTTTCATGGGATAGGGATTCTCAAAGAGTCTGGGGAGCCTACGTGCTTTGGAAAGGCATATTGGATATTCTGATGTCCTTTTCTATTCAGAAAGAAACCCCCATTTATGTCATCATAAAAGCTAAGGGAGAAGACCCTTTAGGCTGGTGATGATGTGCAGAAGACTCTCTTGGGTGGGGTGGTGGCTGATGATCCCCTGTGTGGCCACTTGGGCCTGTTGTCCCAGGGGGCCTGCTTCAGCCATCATAACCCAGCCTCCATGGCACCTGCCCTCTCACCTCTGGTGGTGTTGCTGTTGGTATAGGTAAAGACGCTCGCCTGGGTGCTGTCCTCAAAGTCAGCCTGCAGCTGTCCTCCTGCAAGCCTTTGGGGGCCCCATAGCTGGGCCATGGCTCTAGAAAGCCCTGTCTCTTGATGTCTGCCAGTTCTGGCACTGTCTGGGGGTTACAGTGCTTTATACAAGCCTGCAGGATCAGCTTGGGCCTCCTCACCTTAAAAGCTCCCAAACCCTTCACCATCTGATCTCTTAATTGGGCCCTGGACTTAGACCTCCTCCTCCCCCACCTCTTGCATCCTGGCTCCTTAGGAGAGCCCATGAGGGCAGCTCAGAGGGATTTACTTGGAACCAAACTCAGAGCCCTAGGCTTTCCAAGGTGGCTGCAGGAGCTGCCAAGGACCCTTGCTCCTGCTTATGTGTCCTCTGTTCCCTTCTGCTGTCCAGCACCCACTCTTAGGTCAGGGGGGCTCAAGGGTCAGGATTTTCAGATTTGGGGAGCAGCCCAAAGCCCAAATTTACCTTTGCCATCTGGTTTGCCCCAGAGCCCTGGTAGGTGGGGGATGCCGGGAGGCTTCTCAAGGCTGAGGCTTGGAAATGGAGCCTCCTTGAGGGTCAGGCCATCTCACTGTGCCCACATGCATACAACTTGCACTGGTGGGGGCCCTTCCCCTAAGAGGGGATGAGCAGACCTGGGGTGTCTTGCTTTCTGCTTCCCCTTCCCTTTTCTTTCATGAACTGCAGCTCCTTCAGTCACCAGGGTGCTCATCTAGGCAACCCTCTCGCTACGCCTAAAGTTGCCCACAGACACTCAGACCCCACCTGCTCAACCCTCCTTCTCCTGAGTTCACGACCTTTCCTTGGACTGCCCCTGACTACAGCCTCCCTCTAGACTTGCTTTCAAAGGTAAACCTCTCACCCTAGCCGGTGTGGCTCAGTTGTTTGGGCGTTGTTCTGTGCACCAAAGGGTTGCTGGTTCAATTGGGGCATATGCCCAGATTGTGGACTCAACACCCCAGTAGGGGGTATGCAGGAGACAATTGATTGGTGTTTTGTTTTCATATTGATGTTTCTCTCTCTCTCTCCTTCTCCCTTCCTCTCTCTAAAAATATCACTTTAGCCCTGGCTGGTTTGGCTCAACGGTTAGAGTGATGGCCTGTGGACCAGAGGGTTCCAGGATTGGTTCCCGTTAAGGGCATGCACCTCGGTTGCAGTTTGTCCTGAGCCCCAGCTGGGGTCATGTGGGTGGCGACCACTCGATGAGTCTCTCTCACGTTGATGTTTCTCTCTCTCTTCCTCTCTCTCTCTCTCCTGCTCTATCTGAAGATAAATGCAAAAAAAAAAAAAAAAAAAAAAGCCCTCAGGTGAGGATTAAAAATAAATAAATAAAAATATCACTTTAAAAACAAAACAAAAAACCAGTAAACCTCTTGGCAGAGTATTCCAGATGGGCTACCTCTGCTGTCCCTCTTCAGCCAATGCAGTCTGGCTGCTGCTGGCTCTGCACTTGGCAGGGGCACCAATTACTTGTTAATTGCCCAATTCTGCAGCCTTACCTGTTTCTAACTGAGGACCCTTGCCCCCTCCACAACCTCTTCCCCTGCCTTAGGGAAAACATCCTTTCTCATGGCTTCTGCCAGCTCCTCTCTACTTAGTCCTGAAATCCAGCTACCTTCAGCCACCTCCTTTGGGTTGGCCTTGAGCTCAATAAAGCCAAGATGTGGGCTCATGGCCTCACTTCTCTGTTCTCAGTGCCATGACTCTTCAGCACTCCATACTCAAGTTCCTGATGATACAGCCACTCCTGCAGGTGGAGGGGAAGCCTTGGCTGCCAAGCTGAAGGCCAGAGATGCATTCAGCCCCAGCTGTTGAGAATAGCTCTCAACATTGGTCAGTGCCTGCTACGTGCCAGGTGCCGGGCTAGAGGCTCTGTGAAACTGAAGGAAAGAGTCCTGGTCATAATCTTGCCAGGGCCCATTGGCAGACTGGAAAACTGGGCTCAATGCCCAAGGGCCCCTGGAAAGCTGTGCTTTCCTAACTTCAAGAGAAAGTGCACCCAGCACTTCCACTCCTAGGTATCTACCCAGGAGAATTGAAAACATGTTCACGCAAAAATCTTGTACAAGGATGCTGAGAGCAGCACTATTCATAAGAGGTCAAAAGTGAATCAACAGGTGAATGAATAAACAAAATGTCAGTTATCGATGCAATGCAGTTCAGTCATAACAAGAAATGGAGTTCTGACCCAAGGTACAACAGGAATGAACCTCAAAGACATGATTCTGAGTGAAAGAAACCAGTCACAAAAGGCCATATAATGTATGATTCCATTCATATGAAATGTCTAGAATAGGCAAATCATAGAGACAGAAAGGAGATTAAGGTTTCCAGGGATTGGGGAGGTAGGATAATGGGGTGTGACTACTAATGGGAACAGGGATTCCTTCAGAGGTGACGAAAATATTTTAAAATTAGATTGTGACGGTGCAGCCACTGTGGAAAACAGTTGGGCAATTCCTCAAAAATTAAAAATAGAATTATTATATGATCCAGCAATTACACTTCTGGGTGTATATCCAAAAGAAGTGAAAGCAGTGGCTCGTAGCGGGAACTTAGTATGTTCAATGGCTCACAGTGTAGTTTAATGTAAGAATGTCAGATACCTGCCCTGGCCAGTTTGGCTCAGTGGTTAGAGCGTTGGCCTGCAGTCCGGAGAGACCCGGGTTCGGTTCCTGCTAAGGGCGCGTACTTCGGTTGCAGTTTGTCCCCGGCCCTGGTCGGTCGTGCAGGTGGCAGCCACTCGATGTGTCCCTTCACATCGATGTTTCTCTCTCTCTCTCCCTTCCTCTCTCTCCCTCCCACTCTATCTGTACAAAAAATGGAAAAATATCCTCGGGTGAGGATAAAAAAAAAAAAAAAAAAAAAAAAAAAAAAAAGAATGTCAGATACCTAGAAGTCAACCCCAGGTCATTGTGACTTCCAAATCCACACTTTACCCTCTTCCTGGGTCCCCAGAAATTCTGCCTGCCTGTCAAAGAATCAGAGCATCTGAGAATGTGAGAGCTGGAAATGGGCCTCCTCTGAGATTATCTGTCCCACCTGGTCCCTTCTGAGCACTGGACACAGGATCGTCTCTTCCCAGCACCACCATGGACTGGCTGGGTGGCCTTGGATGGGGCAAAGCCTCTGTTTAGGGCCAGGTTCATCTTCTGTCTAAAGTGTGATGACCAATCCTGTCTCCCCATAGGGCTGCCATGTCGTTTGGAAGCCCTCTGAGAACAATGTGAAATGCCATCTCAGTGAGGTTCTGGGAGAGGAGGATAGGGACATCTGGGAAAAGCCTCCAGCTTAAGCCATGGAGGTGGCCCACCGCTTGCCAGGCCCACTCTTTTTTTTTTTTATTATTTATTTATTTTTTGTTACAGATATTTCACCTTTTTTACCCCATTGGCACCCCCCTCCCCACCCCATCCCCGCCCCGTCCCCGGCTTAGTTGTCTATGTCCATTGGTTATGCATACATGCATATAAGTTCTGTGGTTTATCTCTTCCCACCCCCCCTACCTCCTCTTCTGAGGGATGTCAGCCTGTGCCCTACTTCCATGTTTCTGGGTCTACCATATTCCTCAGACTGTTATGTTCATTATATTCCATATATAAGTGAGATCATGTGGTATTTGTTTTTTTCTGCTTGGCTTATTTCACTTAGGATAATACTTTCCAGGTCCCTCCATGTCGTCTCAAAGGATAAGAGGTCTTTCTTTCTTACCGCTGCATAGTACTCCATTGTGTATATGTACCACAGCTTTTTTATCCATTCGTCTACTGGTGGACACTTGGGCTGTTTCCAGATCTTAGCTATTGTAAATAGTGCTGCTATGAACATGGGGGTACATATATTCTTCCTGATTGGTGTTTCAGGCTTCTTAGGGTATATTCCTAGAAGTGGGATCACTGGGTCAAATGGAAGTTCAATTTTTAATTTTTTGAGGTAACACTATATTGTATTCCATAGCGGCTGCATCAGTCTGCATTCCCACCAGCAGTGTACTAGAGTCCCCTTTTCTCCACACCCTCGCCAACACTTGTTGTTTGATGATTTGTTGATGGCGGCCATTCGGACAGGTGTGAGGTGATACCTCATTGTTGTTTTAATTTGCATCTCTCTGATGATTAGTGATGTTGAGCATTTCTTCATATGTCTCTTGGCCGTTTGTATGTTCTGTTTGGAGAGGTGTCTATTCAGCTCCTCTGTCCATTTTTTAATTGGGTTCTTTGTCTTCCTTTTGTTGAGTTGTATGAGCACTCTATATATATTGGAAATTAACCCCTTATCTGATACATCATTGGCAATGATGTTCTCCCATACAGTGGGTTGCCTTTCCATTTTGATGATTGTTTCTTTTGCTGTGCAGAAGCTTTTTAGTTTGATGTAGTCCCATGTGTTCATTTTTCCTTTGTTTCTGTTGCCTTAGGTGATGTATCAGTGAAAATTCTGCTCCGTATGATGTCCGAAATTTTGTTGCCTACATTTTCTTCTAGAATTTTTATGGATTCACAGGTCACATTTAAGTCTTTTATCCATTTTGAGTTTATTTTTGTGTATGGTGTTAGTTGATGGTCTAGTTTCATTTTTTTTTGCATGTAGCTGTCCAATTTTCCCAACACCATTTATTAAAGAGGCTGTCTTTACTCCACTGTATGCTCTTGCCACCTTTGTCAAATATTAATTGAGCGTATTGCCTTGGGTGCCAGGCCCACTCTTGTCCAGCATTATACTAATCATTGAGCTCAGTTGTGGGTTGGTCCCAAGACCCTGGGGAAGGGGAGGGGAGATGTCAGAGGTGGGAGGAGGTGGGGATGGCAGTGAGTCCTGGACCATCACTGTCTCTGCAGAGTAGGTGCTAATTGATGATTAGGGCTAACAGAAGATCAAGTCCAGTTTAGCAGAAAGCAGATTACTGCCCTGGAAAGTCACCCAGCAGCACGTGGGCACACACATGTGCTCCCCAAGGCCCAGTGAAAGCTCACTCTGGTCCCTCACTATGGCAAAGAGTGGATGAAAGAGGAAGGGCATTTGAGAAGGAGATGAAGAGCAAGGAGGGGAGGAATGGGGTGAAGAGCAGCAGGAGAAGTAGGAGAGGCCATCCACTGTGCCCCCATCTCCCTCCCTCGCCTCCAACTGGAACTGC